GAAGGCTGCATCTATTTTTAGGTACCAGTGTACCACCTAACAACATCTTAGGGTAATTAATTAGTGTGTATGTGTACTTTTTTAATTATTTTATTTTTACATCTCTATGAAGTTGTAGTAGGGGGGAGGACAAGTACATTTAGGTGATTGGTGGAAGAAGCTAATTAAGGTCTATTGATGATGAGAATGAATGTATGAATGAATGAGAAATGGTATGCATGTGCACATGAGTTGGTGCTTCATCATCATCATCATGTAAAATTTGTGCATTTTTAGAATGTGGTTTGCTCTTTTTTGGCATGTGCCCTTGTTTTTTTGGGTGGTTGGATATACAGAGAAAAACCTATCTGCTTTTAAATTTGACATCATCACGAAAGATAATCGTCTGTGAATTCGTCTTATAGGCAGCTTGAACAATTACAAGGAGTTTGTGCTTACATACATTTGCACCCACATTGTAGTATGGTTCATTTTACGATTAGAAAATGTCACTTAATGAAATCTAGATTGACACCATCAGAGATAATTACACGTACATAAGTATTGCGTGGGAAAAATTTAGGTGTACCCTAAAGTGGTGTATTCCAAGTGTACATCTCTTCACAGACACACATAGACATCGATCATTGTTTGTTGAGACAACTATTATCAATGAGACACTAGCATTATTAGTCTTGATGTGATTGTAACATGACTTTTACAATTATATAGTACTTCATAAAGAAATTATCCTAAATAAGAATAAAATAAGAAAAAGCGTTAAACTGGGAGTTTCATGTTTTTATTCTCGAAATAAGATTTCGCAATATGGTAATGTAGCACAGTATATGAGCATTTTACAATATTTTCTGGTGATGTATATAGGGCTTGTTTGGGAATAGCGTTAGCTATTAGCGTTAGTGTTTTGAAAAAGCTATCTACGAGGAGCGTTTAGCGTTAGCGTTTTCAAAATAATCTGCGCCATTAAAATTTTTTCCAAAACGCTAACGCTATTCCCAAACAGGCCCATAGTTATGATTGACACTGTAAATACATTTTAACTCATATTTTGGGAATAAAAATATAGAACTTTTGTTTTAGTAAATTTTCAATATTTTACTCTTACGTTAGTCTTTTTTTCTACTTCATACTGCATTTACGAAATACTTTATTCTCTATTGGTTTCTATTAGTGTATATATATACTCATGGAATTTCTATTTGTATAGGTACTCTATTGATTTCAACTTATATATACACAAATTTTCATTAATAAATCTTTGTTACTTATTAATTTAAGTATGATTTATAAATATGGAAGTAAAATAAAAGATTAATATATGTAGCATGGTTCTAAAATTCTATTTAAGTTAAATGAAAATTATTATATTTATTTTTTATTTTTTAAATAATATTTATATTTTTTGTATTTATTTTTAATTGTTTATATTATCCTCGTAATAGGAGTTCGTACTGTTGTAATCTGAAAATGAATCAACTTATAGAGCTAAGAAGTCCAAAATCCTTAATATCAACAAACACAAAACACAACAAATTAAAAAGTCAAGTATGAATTCAGAAATTATTTAACTATAATATGGAACTTCGTTGATAAAATTAATAATGGTTCTTATCACCTCTCTCTAAGACCGCTGACCACTGTAGCCAATCAACGATGATCTTGATGCGGCAAATGATAGAAACCATCAATTTTATCTAAGAGTCCCGTATGTAGGTAGCTCGGATCATCATATGATATTCGGTTCAATGTCACTCGAATCGTTCTCTCGTTATGTATATTCGTTATGTATATATCAAAGTGGCCATATATATTTTTTCGAAGACTAAATCCTAGCCACTAAGTTCCGATCACTTGTCTTACTTGGAGATATTTTGCCTTTAGTGATTTACTTTCTTTGGCTTTTTCACTTTAGTTTTATGTATGTTTTTCAGATTCTTCATGATTATGAAGATCTATGAGTACGTGCATGCGTGTAAAGTATTGAGAAAAAAGGCGTTGTACCTTGTACGTAATGGAAGGCTTACCCTTGAGAGTTTGACGTATTTCAATTCTCACACGTATTTCAATTCTAATTTACCTAAATAAAACTAAAACATAATAAATATAAGATCATATATTTTTATTTACCAATGTAGGACCATTAGTCATTATCTATTAGTCATTATTTAACTAAATGTCCAGCATCACTTGGAAATGACTTATGTTTTAATCCTATTCAGTGCAAATTTCACTTTTTGTATATTTACCCTTGGAATTTTAGCATTGTCATCAAAATTACAAAAAAAAATCATTTTACCATTCTGTGCTAGGGTCACAAGTCACAACATTTTAAATATCACACCTACATTTTGTTGGTGATTTTAGTGTCATCGGCTATTTTGTGCAATTGGATTTACTTAGATCAGAAAAGAATTTGAATAGATGTTGTCAAACGTGTTAGGAGGTGCGGAGTACGCACTCGTTCAACGATATTACAAATTCATAGCAGAGGTCCGGGGAGCGGGGTCCAAGGGGCAAAGCCCCTGAATGGGGTCTTGGAAATTTTTTAGTTTGGACATTATTTCTTTACAAAAATCTTTAAGATTTTTGTGAACGAAGTCTGAAATATTAAAAACTCATGGACTTTGGATAAAGATCAATTTTGACCAAACTCTACAAACGTTTGCATCCAGAAATCGGAAGTCTGCGATTATCTCTACGTCGCGAAAGTTTGCAACCCTTTACGCAAAACATCGTGTCTGATCGGTGATCTTCGTCTCTATAAATAGAGACGTAGGGGTATGGTTGAAGATACGATTCGAAAGACTTGTTCTTCATTAACGTCTTGTCCGATTGAAGTATTTCGTATACTCCGAAATAATTTTGATCTGAAAGTGTTTTTACGCGATTTGTTATACTCTATCAAGTCATTCTTCTCATTTTCGTTAACGCTGCTCCGCAAGGTTCATCCTCCACGATAATTAATTTCCTACACATTTCATAAATACGAAAAGGAAACAACTTTTTTTTGTTTAAAATTTCCTAATTTTTTCTCGGTCAAGAGTCAATTGGTGCGGGTGGGGTATATTTTTTCCTAGTTCTTTTTTCACTAATCATTATAACTTTTTTCATATACTGAAAAAAAATTATTTTAGAAATGAAGTATGCCAATATTCATTCAAAGGAAGGTGCTAACTGTTCTTGACCATGTTGGGGATAACCGGTCAAGCCGTCAAGCTTTAGACTAATTGCCAAAATGAGTGTTGTTATACTTATATCCATTCAAAGTGATTTAGGTCTCGTAAGTACTTGTATGGAGACAGTTTTCATGACATTAGAATCTCATGTCATGAGATGACCCGTGACTGCTACGTTGCCACGTTCATAAAATTAATGGTTCAGTCCCCCCTCTAACCCCTTGGTAACCCTCTCCCCCACACTCCATACATGTATATATACTCCTTCCGTCTTACAATAATGTTCTCGTTGCGCATTACGATGTTTAATTGAAGCTATTTTCAAAATCATTTTATATACAAAAATCGTATGGTATTTAAAAATAAAAATTACATATTTATAAACTACATAAAAAGATATACAAAATTAGAGATGACATGAATCAAACGAGCAACGAAACTATGCAAAGAAAAAGCAAATAATATTTTACTTTGTAAATAATGAACGAGAATATTATTGTTGGACGGAGGGAATAGATATTAAAAAGAGTTTGAAAAATATATTGCAAGTGATGAGTAGATTAAGAGTAGGCCGAATGCGTCCAGCCCATGTCGATTAGTTAAATACAATTAGGCCCGTAACAATGAGGCCAGCCAACTGAGGAGGGAAACCCGCTTGAGAGGGCTCAGGTCTCCTAGCCCGTAAGTGAGGCAAAGCCTACGCGAAATGGGCTTTGGAAGCGAGACTAGAGGTTGCGTGGCAAAAGGAGATGTGCCATAATTAAGGAGTTAATTACGGATCTTAATAAAGACCTCTAGCCTTTTCAGAAAGGGAAATATTCACATGTAAGTCCGTAAAAAATGTGCAAAGATCCAAATTTTAAATGTGGACCTTGAAACCATATAAGCATCACTCGCCTTTGATAAGTTATAGTCTGCTTCTTTGGTGCACCTTGGATGCATACCATTTTTTATGCACCTTCTCCAATAATATTTTTTAATTTTTAATTAAAATAAATACTTATTAACGCAGTTAAGATTTTCTTATTTGCATTATATGTAAGTCCATGATTGACCTTAAGCTTGCCATAGAATTTTAAATTTTATTTCGTAAAAAAAGCGACAAAAATAGGTTTTTTGTCAAATATCAACGAAAATATAAAAATAACTAAAATTCTCATGATCTTTTAATAGTAAAGTATGGTATTCTTTTTTTAACGATTCGAGTAAGAGTTTTGCTAAATTAGAAGTTACTCCCTCTAATTTTATAAACAATTTGTCTTTCAGTTTTTTCTCTTCTACCAAAATACTTCTATTTTCTATTAAAAACTACTTTTACCCTTACTTTTTCTAATTCTACCTATCAAATCATATTTTTTTCCTAATAATCTATCTATCACATCTTATTTTTACCCATCAAATCAAGGCAAAATTAGAAATCAATTACTCCTTAATTTGGCCTTTGGTGGGAAGGATTTTCCAAACAGAGGAATTAAGAGTTAAGAAATCACACTAAGAGTTTGTTTTTTAGGTCCAGTTCCTTC